TTGAGCACTTGCCTCAATCCGTGCCAGTTCAGTTCTAAATAAATATCGTGGCCGGGTTGGTCTATATTGGAGGGGATGGGTTTGGCTACGCCTCTCGTGAATTTACTGGGCGTTAACAACAATGACGGGCAGAAAAAGCTGCGCCTGTTCGGGTCTTTAACGGCCAGGCAGCCTGCGCTGTGAGTTTTCCCTATTGAGTGCTCTGTCATCCTGAGAGCTTCATTTATCACCGGGACGCAGGCAGGCCCGTCTGACTTATGGGTGAAGACGCATGCCCAGCACTAAACTAACCGTCTGAACTGGCGTCGGAAATCGCTCGCTTACAGCGCCAGGCGTGCCATCTGCTGCGAAATGCTCGGGACCTGCGCCACGTCCAGACCGAAGGCATCTTCAGCCAGCAGCAACTCAGTCACTAAACTTAGCAGCTGAGCCGCGTCGACTGGCCAAGGGTCGATGGAGGGACCAGATGTCGCCAAAACTGTCGCGCTACGCTCCATCGGCTGGAAGACATGCATTCGTCCAGCATGTCATGAATATCCCCTGGTTTAAAACAGCACGCTGACAGGGTGGATGCATGGCGTCCAGCCCGATACCGGCATCATCCCTGCGGTACTTCCGGGTGCTGAAGCCGGCAGTGTTGAGGGTGGACACCCCTGGAGTGCATCTCCTTTTGTGTCAACGAGACGACATTGTGCAGACGACAGTCGCATGACTAAAGCCTTTTGTAAAGCAAGGAATAATGTGTTAATTGATCCACTACATTGAATATCAATAGCCAGAAGCTTGTGGACGTAGATTCGGTGCGCGCTCAGCCTGTATTTGGTTTTAAGCTCGAGTAAGCCTTGTCCGTTATTGCTGGACAAAGGTGGAGCAGGCCAGCGGTACCCGTTCTGCATCATAAAACTAGCCACCGTGAGGGCCCAGCTCTGGCAAATGACTAGGCCTCAGTGCGCATTGGCTTGGTTGTTCCCGCTACGTAGAGCCGCGCCAATGTGTCTGGCCAGGCCGGATCGGGGCCCCGCCCGAGAAACTTCGGACACCTTAGCTTCCTAGTTACAGCGCTGTTATACCTGACCGCTCCTCGAATACATCCAATCCAGGAACGTAAGAGATTCGCGCACACCGTCCCAGGCTATACCGACGTATAACCATTTTCACCGGTCGGGTGATCTGCCGGATCGGGGTCCCATCTAAAATGCCAACTGGGGCCTGTAAGTTCGATGGAGTCGCTTGGGTTAACATCACCAAGGGACGGCAGTCGTGATGCACAAAGTTAACCCTAGCATGGGAATGCAGCTTTGAGCACACCTAGAGAATCCAAAGTCATAGACCATTTGTTATGCTGAGCACCTTTGGCATAAAACGCGGCGGATTATCTCGCATAGCCTACTTCCGGGGTCCTATATTACCGCATCGGTTCTTGAGTTCATTCAAAATCAGACATCATTGCAAAGCTTACTAATGTCTTCGTATTTAGCGTGATCATACCAATTATTTCACCCACAGGACATGCTATAATACATGCATGCGGTCGGTCACGCTCCTTACCACGCGCGTGGTCTTTCGGCGTTTAAGGTGTACTACGAAAAAAATCATTATTTAGAAAAGATGTTCCTCAATATGTTATCTTATGATTATGCCATGGGACATCTCGTTGACGTCAGAGTCGCTGCAATAGTGGCCGCGTCAAAATTGTCGCTGTAGTGGACGACTCCCTTGTAGCACCTCCTCTTGTCGAGAGGTGAAAGTGTTTGGCGGTGCGTGTTTGCTGAACCCGAATATCGTTATGTGCGAGCGTTTTGGCCCTGTTTTGTGGTACTCTTGTTTGGTGCCATTGTCAATGATTTTAGATTTCTTTGCTTGCAACCACATGCTCGATTACGGCGCTTTTCATATTTGACTCCCAATCTCAGTTCCATCATAAATAATACCACTGCCCAAAGTGCTGTATCGTGGGGCACAAAACGGAATTCGTGTTCGAAGCATGCACTCAGCGCCTTGAACTGGTTGAAGGCCAAGTACTGTCCTTTGATTGCACGAGTCGCACTAACGTAAGCCAGACACGAATAGTTCGACGATCATATTTTCTTGACCTAGAGCATCAGGTGGCCATTGAGGTGACGGTATTTATGTGGCGTTTCTATGACGTCAAGCGTGCTTGATGACCTTCAAAAATGCTGCGCAAAGTGGTCTGAATAGGTCTGCGTGCGTCACTCTCAGAAACAAGCGTGTTTGAAGTCTTTAGACTGGCATGACTTGCATTTAAATACCTTTAAAGGGAGTGTTCCACACTTCTGTGGGGTTTTGAACTGAAATAGCCATTTAGAAGACCATTCAGTGCAGTTCAAAGCCTTGCCCTTGTAAAGACCTAGACCTGTCTAGTTTCATAGCTAAACGCCCACAAAGATTATTATATATATATATATATATATATATATATACCTCTCTGTATTTAATATATCATAATATATCTATGTTATTATATATTTCAAGGTCACCTTGGCATTTATGAGGTAATGATAACGTCTTTTAATCCTGCCATTCCATAGGCCATGCGGTGATCAAGGCCAGGAGGAAGCATAATGGTCGAGTTGTTCATATCTGACGTTCGTGAGCGCAATTTCCAGATATAGCGGCCGTCAATTGGCTCTCAATCAATGTTGTGCAAGGGATGGTGACATTATCAAACAATGGCGTATCGAGGAGCATTTTCCTCAACGCGGAAATTGTGTTGTCTAGAGGAATGTTTTCAACTAGAAAGTGTATGCATAGTCATAAGTGAGCTTATTTCATCTAGTTGATGTTTGCCTCAATATCTTCCAATGTGAAACATTCCCTTGAAAAGGGCTATAGCTATACAAAACATCTTTGTTAAATAGCTATCGAAATAGCTATACCAGTTCAAAACTTCATACAAATGTGCAGCAATTTCCTGAACTAATGTGGTTATAGCCCTGTTCCAAAGGAGTTGCAGTGCACCCACCTCCTCCATTGGCGGTGCTTCTTTTTTGCAGCTGCGATCGAAACCGTTAGAGAACACTCTGAAGCTTTACGGCTTCCTCGAAACATGAATTTAGCAACACCTGTCCTGATGTGAGCTGCTTACACTACCGAGAAACGGCCCCAAGAGCGGTGTCTGGGAGATACGTGCAGACGAAACACAGGGTACTAAGGTTGAATGCGTCGTCATCGATCACTTAGCTGCGCGACTGAAGCGAGTTGCGACACGGCTATTCGCATCAAGGCTGGTCACAGGTGGTGTGTGGGGCATCTGAACTAGCAGGGAAACATCCAAGAGCCAGAGGGGAGTAATCTGGGTGTTTCAACGTCCACATGACCCACGGTTAAGGAGGCAAGCAAACTAGGCTATGCCATGCAGTGGAGGTAACATAAATCTTCAAACAATCCCCTATATGCAGGTGACACATTACATACAAAAATAGAAAATTTCTTCGCGCAGAAATGACACCAAGAGCACAGATAGTGGCGTACTTAAGCTGCGCGTCTCAGAAACCAGAGCTACGGGGTTGATTTCTTCGCGTTACCCACCCTTCCCACCAGAGCGAGAGGCAGGCGACGCCAACTAGCCTCAGCAGCAAAGTGCGTCCTGAGGAAGAGGACGTACTTCGTTGCTGAAGACTCAAAGACCCAATGAGACACAAACGGCGTCAGGCAACGGAGTGGTGACCGATTTTTGTGTTCGTCTCCATCTGATAGATATACAGACGATGATCACAAATTTGTCACTGGAAACTTTGTACGCAGTCTGCTTCGGGAGATATCTGTACCGACAGACATGACAGGCGCGGCGCATTACATAAGCTGAAGGTCGCGTTCCAGCTGGCTTGGTGTGAGTGTGCATAGTGTCGCCAAGCTGGACTTCGGAAAACTTTAGATGCGATATATTCAGCTCCGATATTTTTGGAATATCGTGATGTCATCCGGCGATTCACAATACACTGAGCGTACCACTGAAACTCTAGTGAGGAAGAGCGTCAGGTCATCGGATGTGACCCTCATTCGCATGCAAATCCATTTTCCAACAAGAGTGGCGCAACCTTTTGATTATCATCTGGGACAGAAGCCTGCGGCGATCAACTGTACAACAATGATCACTTATGACAATTTGCGATAATCGGAAATGGTCCACATGCCGATCCGACTGAGGAAACACATTGCGGTGGCAGTTTCCAAGATCGTTTAATACATAACACCAAATTGAAAAAAGGACGACCACATCCAACCTTCAACTGACAGGCGAAGTGCGGTGCCCCCTGCCCCCACGCTCAAGAAGTTGTGCCTCACCCCTTTTTCACATACTTAAGTACCCAAGTGAGCCTTTGCAACGGTGCGCTTCTAAGAAGGCGATGCTCGCTGCCCTTTAGCCTCTTCAGCCGTCCTTTGACGGTGTGTAGTATGAGATCCCATGTAGACACCCTGAGCAAGCGGCAATATAAGGCGCGTTTTAGCCCTTCCTGCTGAGTGTGTCACCGAAACAGTTCCCAAAACCGCGCGAGTAAAGCATAGCCAACACCTCGGCGGATATTCTGAGCCCCCGAATGTTCTCAGCTAGGCAGATCTCGCATATCTGGGGGCTAAGATGAAATTGATTCTCGACTCCAAATTAAAACGGAATTCACCGCATGCAAATGGTGCTAAGATATAGGGCCTTCCTCGACAAATTTTGAAATGAAATGCGTAGCAGGAACAAACAAATGCTCAGTTTTCGGATGTTGTGCTTCATGTCCACTGTACATTTCGACCACTTCCTACGAGTCGTCGACGAGCCTCGGGGGGGGGGGGGGGGTAGTGCAGTGTCTAGGCCGTGCGTCTGGGAAACTAGAGGTACGGGGTTCGACTCCTCGCCATTCCCGCCGGTTTGAGAGGCAAGCAACGTCATGCAGCACCAGCAGCTGACTGCATCGAACACCCCCAACAACGGCGGCGAACCACCGCCTGGCCTTGACCCCGGCTCGGCGCGGCAGCGGAGCAGAACTGACCTTGTTCCAGGGCCCGGTGCGCCACTCGCAGTTGTCCGTCGGGCCGCTGCACGGCTCGTCCAGCGCCGGCCGCGGCTGGTCGGCGCACTCGTGCTCCCCCAGCGCCTGCATCTCGTCCGCGCCGGACAGACGGACGCAGACGACCAAGCGGTGGCGGCGGCCCGGCTCGCCACAGCGGGCCAGGCACGGCTGCCAGGGCTGCGTCCACCACCTGCGGGCCGCGCGCGCCGCGTCAGCCCCCGTCGTCCACGGGGCCGCGGGCGTGCCAGCTGAGGTCATCACCAGGCCGGGTCCACCGGGCTTCGGTCATCGGCTTCGGTCATCGCGGCAGGGTTTGTGTCAGCTCTCGTCGTCACCAGGGCGGTCACTGGTGACGCTGCGGTCAGATCGCTGCATGTTTTGCCCCGTGTGCTGCGTGTTTGGCCTCCGTGTGCTCTGTGTTTTGCCTCCGTGTGCTGCGTGTTTTCCCTCGTGTGCTGTGTATTTCGCCTCCGTGTACTGTGTGTTTTACCTCCGTGTGATGTGTGTTTCAGATGACAGTGGATGCCAGTGCTGGTGTCGGTGGGATTGTTGTGAGTGCTTTCAGACAATTGTCTGTCCCACAAGCGAGGCCTGCCCTGCTCCCAGGCAGCGGCAGCCACGGACACAACAGGCGTCTATATACCCAACCGGCGATACTGCTGTGCCCCCCGCAGGCCAAAGCAGCACTGATGGAGCCAGCCCAAGGTTAACCACTTCGTCAGCCGAAGGCTCTCGCAATCCCATCAGCATCAGCACGTCAGTCACACAATCCCATCAACATCATCACGCCAGCCACATTATCGCATAGAGCCGGTGGAGATCTCCACATGTCGCAACGACCTCCGCCACGGTCAGTGCCTATGTCCAGAGTAGGGCCAGTCACATCTTCGAAAAGACTGCCATCTTTTGGGACATGTCCTGAAAACGTCCACAGTGAACTCAACGAATCCCTTATGATGTTAATAAAAGTCCAAAGTTCACGGATGGCAATGGCGTGTCTTGCTTACTATGGCAATCTCAGAAGTAATTGACGCCTAGTATATGGAAACCTTTCGCTAACGTAACTAGCGGGGCCGAGACACTCTTCAGCCAGCGTAACTGGCGGGGCCGATACACTCCTTGGCCATCGTAAATGGCGGGGCCGATACACTCCTTCGCCAGCGTAACTGGCGGGGCCGAGACACTCTTTTTCCAGCTTAGCTGGCAGGACCGAGACACTCTTAAGCCGGCGTGGCTGGCGGGACCAATGCACTTTTCCAGTGAAACATGATTGCTTGCGTGATGAACTACTGCCTGTGCATAGGGAGATAACAGCCCCAAGAAACAGGGGATGCAAAGCAACAGCTAAAGCCTTCAAAGGTAAAATAAAGTCCGGAAGTTTGAGCTCGAAAACCAAGGGCGAAGTAGCAGTAGAGGTGAGGAAGTGGGTTCGAAAAGGGTGCAGCGAACACGGCATATGAATGGTCCATTTCTTGTGCCACCGTGAGCGCGAAATACGTTCAGTTATTCTTGCAAATAAGCACCGATTTTGCAAAAAATATTTGCCCAGAGCACCTACGTTGCCATTGCAACTGTCGCTCCACGAGGTTCGTGAACTTCGTCTCTTTCAAAATGCGAACTGCTTGAACTTCACAGAAGCTACTAATACGCTAACTAATACATTTCCATCGAATGTCGAACTTCCAACAGCTGGCCGGCAAAATATCCCAATATGATGCATCATCCCTGTATCCGCCGCACTTGCCTCCCCCTTTCAGACCCTCGGGAAAAGTAACTCAACCATATTGCTCTACCGCAATAAATCACTGCCCCTCGCAATCTCCGGCTCCACGAGAACACACAAGCCACACTGCCAGGCAAACAGTACAAAAAAACGTCCTCGCAAAAACTTCGTCGGTGCAGCGCGTGAAGGGAAATCGGTGCCTTACTCGGCAGTGTGGCAGCATTCGGACACCTGGATCGCAGGGATTTCCATATTGTCCGTACTATTGCACCCCCGGCCCGGAGTTCACTGCCTGTTGCTCCTCCCGCTCCCAGGATCGGCCAATCAGCATTGAACCTGACGGAGGTGAATCCGGCATTTAAGTGCCTCGGGCCCAACAGATCGGCCGTGCGCGTCTGAATGCCAAGTTCCGGCTCAAAGTGCTACTGAAATTCTTCTAATTCTCAAAAGCACTTCCCACTCAAAGCGCTATTGAAATTCAAAATTGCTATCAGGCTAAGCAAACAGGCAAACAAACAAAAAATGTGAGCGGTTGCAGACCGAGGGGGAGTCAGAAGTCTGGCAGCACAAATTTAAAGTTTCCTACGTTACAACCACCCGAAAAAATCTGTAACGATGCTGTTCGTGTCGCTTCGGTCCCCAAGTCCCCGAAGAACATTTTTCAATACAAAGATTGGCGGCTTTTACGATGGATTAATGCCCTCAAATATTTTTACGAAGTTCGCGCTGTTCCAAAACATTCGGATTTACCAGACGCTTTGACAGCGAAAGGGTTGTTTTTGTGCAATTTAATTGACATGTGACAGCTAAACTACGTCCATCCAACGAATAATTAGTTTGGTGCGCACAACGAAACTCCTTACAGAAATTCGTTGCTGCATTCCATGCCTTTAGGTCACCCAAAGTTTAGTATAATACTGCGCCCGGCAATCAGCTGTGTGGATTGGTCGAGGACGCTGGATGCTGGCCGCACCATTATCCTTGACATCCGTGGTGCTGTGTGGAGCAAGGCGAGCTAGGCGGATCATTTTATTCAATGATCGCGTATGGGCCAGGTCTAAATATGAAGTTCTGTAAGTACTGCACACCTATGGATGGGAGGCGCGGCCATTATATCAGTTTGGTTTGTCGCGCCTGCGTTAAACATGCTACCGAGCGTTTGTTTCTTTATGCTTCTAAAAGTTTCAGCAGGACAAGATCTAGCATCGGAACTCTCTAAACAAACATGATCTTGCTTATGGACGGCCAACCTCAATTTCATCAACATAAACGTCGTTACATACTTTTCTGCATCTGGTAAGTCGAAAAAGGCGTTCGTTTTTCATTCAACAAATTTAAAATAGTTTAAATTATGTAAAATCTGCTATTGTGCGGAGATTGAACACAACGAGCTTTGATAAGTCTTATGACATAACCACTTTGGCTGCAAATGTGGAATAAATATTTGTACGTTTAGAGTGCGGGTAACTACTCCAATTAACTCATGTACTGCAAAGTAGTGGATGCAATGTTCCATGCCATTGGCTGGAATAAAAACAAACTTTGCACGAAGACATTAAGTAATGTCTGCGAGCGGTCTATTCTGGAACAAGGATTTCGCAGCCCGTTCATAGTTTTTGTAGAGCATCCAAGGTCCAAATAATAAGCTCCAAGGATGAACCAACTATCCGTCCAAAAAGAGTAAAAAACAGATTGCACAACACTTCCTTTTCTTTAAACGTCAAAAATTCATTCCCACAACCAATAACCCTAGGCACTACTAGTGTGGCGGCATACCCACCTCGAATCAAATGAAAGAAATAAAAAGGATCGTGGATAAGTAATGTGCACCCCAGGCTTTCGTGGAAACATCCACAATTCACATCGATGTTGACTAAGCTTGACTATCACTCAGCTCGACGACTGCAGCTTAGTCGGCCAGTGAGTGGTATCCAATCGGGAGTGGAACAAGACGGCGGATTCTGGTTCCCACAGGATGTTTTGGCCGAATAAAACCCAAGATCTTTTTTCGTATAGGTTCTATACCAAACCTTGAGCATGGTTCCTGGCTTCTGGTTCTCAATGGCTTCTACGAGACTATTAGACCTTGCATACCGGCTGTCAATTTTTTCTCGTAAGTCCAAGCCCCGGACCCCTGATTATCAGCACAACGTTCGCATGAGTCACGCAGCATAACCTACATATATATTCGCATAAGAATTAAAAGTCACACAACAGGGACAAGTCAAACAGACGGCATGCCCTGATAGCGCAATTAATATAGCATTACTGCTTATTGAAGAGCATTACCTATGACTTCGTATAGGTTCTATATACAGGGACAATTTTCTGGGACAATTTTAGGACCAACGAGGGACAATTTTCTGAACCAAGTTCAAATGAGCGCATTTTCCATGTTCCATTCTACAAGTTATGGAAGATCTTGGCAGGATCTCAATGGGGCAGGGTTCGAGCAAAAACACAAAAAAACAATAATAAAAATCAAACAAGCAAACAAACAAAAAAAAACTAACGTTTGGGACACTAACGTCAGCGAAATCAATCTCTAGGGAATCGTTCAATCTGATGCAATAATGGAGTGCCAGACAAATCAATACATCTTTGAAATAGATTCGTAGATAGTTGCACGATTGAATTTAGGACTAAATCAATGTCCATTGACCAAAGGTCATATATAAAAGTAAGACTGAGGTAAAAAAAATCTGTTTTTTTTTTACTGGAGAGCTTGCTTTATGAGATAGTTTTTGATACCCTTGTCAAACTCTTGATACCAGGGAACGCAACAGCTTTTAGTAACGTATTCCCAAGCGCAGTCCTTTAAGCTCGTTCAAACAAAAATCAAACAAGGCCGAACAGGATCACTGACCTCAAATGAACGCCAGATATATTTTGCTAAGAACAGGCTTCTAGGTTCATGCCGGTTGCATAAGAAAGTCTGGGGGCACTTTGCAACTAATCTTTAGTTTGATGTTTTCACCTTATTTTACTAAAAGGTCGTGACATATGCACCAAAATCTTGACCTAAATGAGTTCATATACAGATCGCCATATTCTGTGAGTTTGGTGTTTTTAGCTTTCAGAGATTTTAAGATTTCAAAGGATCAAATTGACCTCCACCCCAAAGAAGCATATATTCTCGCCCATCCGGGCGCGTGTTACGGAGCAAGTAGGCCACATTTGTACGCATACATTTATGAAATGTTTTTCAGAATAGATCAAGCGATTTTCGTTGCTCAGACTCCCAAATTATTTCGGGAACTGAACATCTGAGGGACAATTTTCTGAACCCAGAAAGCCAAGGCTGACAAGAATCTCAGGTATCATTCAGGTTCATGCTGCCTGCTTTGGCATCACTTAAGAATATCTTTTGGTTCTTGCCTAATATCAGCTTAATTCTGAGCTGTATCTTGGTCTTGTTGGATCTGTACAAGCTCCAGGCTAGATCTTGGGTCTCACCGGATCTCTGC